TAGCTTTGTCTGTGTCGTACGTGGCCGCTTGTCAAGCATGAAAAACGTTTTATTTAAATTCTGAATATATTATCGTATACAGCATGCAGTGCTCCCTTTAAATATATTAAAAACTCATTCTCTCATTCATCACAATCTCACAAAGTAAAAAAAAAAAAACAATGAACGTGACTACACGATGAAACTTTTTTTTATGTCTTTGTTAGAAAGAAGTTACGAGCATGATAGAACGTAGCACTGGACAAAAAACGGTGACTGGACCGGTGAGTGTGTGGATTCCAACCTAAACACCTCTGATTGGCCATTGCGTTTTAGAAATCAACAAACATGACTGTGATTGGCTACATTGCTCACCTCTGCGAAAATACATTGTAAAATCATTTGACACTTTCCAAAACAGAAGGGCAGATACACTGGATTGTTTGCCAAATCGATTTTGTTATGCTATTATAACGAATAAAACAGATCATAGACCAGGGATTATGGGCAGCTTTTCCATCTAAAAGCCATCAGAAGCAACAGCAGGCAGTTGTATGAGTAAGACTACCTCTCTTAGCACCTTTAGCATTGCATCTGTCATGGCTGCGTGTCACCTTTATCTGTTATTGTGTCATGATCCGTGTGCATCATGTCCACAAGTGTCAGTTGCATTGTCCACTGAAAGCTGATTGACAAACCTGATGTTTGTAGAGCTCAGCAACACCCTCTGCCTGCCATTACCCGCTCGTGACGCCGCTGCTCCGCCACCTGCTGCTCTTCAACAGGGTGAGTGCACCTCGCTCAGTGCTTACATGCACGAGCTACAGCAATACTGAGTTTGATTTCAAAATCAAAATAGCTTTTTAATTTAATTGTTTTAGCCTTTGAAATGGTTTCCTAGTCTAGCTTTCTAATAAACGCGGCATTGTGCATATTGTGGCTCTGTCACAAGTCACTTTGGATAAGTTTTATATGTCTCTCCCATTATACTCTATTTTGCTGTCCTGCTTGCAACCAAATAATCATTCACATTTTATTATTTGCATTCAGCGTTTTTCTTCCTTTTTATAAAAGCATGTGCTAAATGTAAATGTGACAGTACGGACTAGGGTTGCACAATATTAGAAAATAAATAGGAAAACTGACATTGCAATATTTGTTTATCTGTGATATATATTGCAGTACGGGAAAAAAACAGATGGCTTGAATTTTTAACAGATCATTTGAATGACTATATTTGGAAATAATAACTATATTTGGAAATAATTATCATCTGTGCATTTGCATAGAAAAATAAAAAAAAATAAAAAATGACTTTGCACCCTGAAGACTTTTGAGAATAATTTAGGAAATATTTGGGTTTACTTTTTACAAGAACCATATCAAACCTCTTTCAGTGACCATAAAATAGAAAGAGTTATAAAAATATCTCTTTCAACTTTATTTATTTTTCATAGGCCACATTCCCTTGCCCAATTCAGCATGACTATAAAATATAAAATTCTGATGTTTTTCAGTGTGATTATTACAAAATAAAAATATTGAGCAAAATAAGAACTTTATTGTAATAATGCCATCATACTGTAAAATAAAGAAAGAGTGCTCGGTTGCTATCATAACCTCGGTTCTCTGAGATAACGGTCTCTCACGTTGCGTAAAATGCTACGGGGAACGTATCCAATACTATACTTTTTAGCACCGTGCCGAAGCCACAGAGTGAACTAAGACCCAGCTCGTCCTCTGAATTAGGAAGAGCTAGAAGGGTGATGACTTGTGCTCTGAACGGATGTCTTGGTTTGAGGGCAACTTTACATTTGTTTGTGCAGCTACACGAACATGAACAAAGCAGGCTTCAGTGTTCAGAGTAAACAGGAGTGCCCTCATAGCGTTTCACGCAACGCGAGAGACGAAAGGGAAGCAGAGAGTTCCTATATTTAACCAGGTGTTTGATTGACAGGTGTGGATGCCGCAGGTGAGGAGTGAGTCGTATCTGCTGGTGTGTGCCGAGGGGACTGAACTGCAGCTGTGGGAGCGACACTGCAGCGCTGATCTGTCCTGAAGAACAGACACTAGATAGTCTACAGCAGCATGGACTGTGATCTGTTCTTCTCTATTCTTCAGTTCCAGCCTATAACACATTTTCAGCGTCACAGCCACATGATTCAGTGAATGGGGCATTTAAATCTGCACCATATTCTGGTTGCGCTCATATTCTGAATATGATGTTTATATGCTTAAATACGGTAGTTTTAGGTCTGCTGATCTACACATGCACATTTAATTTTTTGCAATTGTCTAAAAGATTTCCTAAGAGAGTCTTAGGAAGTATGTGCATCAGAAATGAGTTTCCAATTCTTAATACCTACAGCTAATGCATGTAATCGCTCATAATTCTTCGTGGTCTGAGCATGTGAATCTCCTTTCAGTGGATTTTCTGAATAAGGTGTTTACATGCAAACACGTTTCTCATTAAAACAGGTTTATTCAAGGAGTGGGAAACAGATTTTTGAGAATTAAAATATTGTCTTAAACTGAATCAGGCAATCAGAGTGTGGTGTTTAATATGTGACTCCATACTAATCTGAATATTGACAAAATCTGATTATTAACGGAATATTCACGTGCATGGCTGGAAATGAAAAAAAATTTTTTTTTTGGAAAAAAAAAAAAAAAACTTTTCCCCACACTCTACTGGGCTGACTTCCTTTGCACGTCTCATAAGCATGTCTTCTATTAGATTGCATGCGGTAGGGCTGAATTACAGTCCTGCGCTACAGCGCCACACTGGTCAAACTGCATTACTGCAGGCTGCATTAGGTCATGAGATCAAACTATTCAACAATAAAAATGATCAACAATAAAAAATTGTCGATAATGTCGACTAACAGTTTCAGCCCTACTCTAGAATAAAACTTAATCATAAAACTTTAATACATTAACTAACATTAACTAATCGAACCTTATTGTAAAGTGTTACAATTATTTGCTATTAAAGAACGTGTGTGTTCACAAAAACACTGTTAAACTAAACAGAAAAGCAAGCAGGTGTGCATGATTTGGCATGGCAGCCAATACAAATAATAACCGTTTCCTTACCTAAATCCTGCATTTGGACCAGGCTCGGTTGCAGAATCACATCTGTGCATCTGAAATTATTATATTTTTCTATATAGTGTAGTAGTTAGCTTTGTCTGTGTCGTACGTGGCCGCTTGTCAAGCATGAAAAACGTTTTATTTAAATTCTGAATATATTATCGTATACAGCATGCAGTGCTCCCTTTAAATATATTAAAAACTCATTCTCTCATTCATCACAATCTCACAAAGTAAAAAAAAAAAAACAATGAACGTGACTACACGATGAAACTTTTTTTTATGTCTTTGTCAGAAAGAAGTTACGAGCATGATAGAACGTAGCACTGGACAAAAAACGGTGACTGGACCGGTGAGTGTGTGGATTCCAACCTAAACACCTCTGATTGGCCATTGCGTTTTAGAAATCAACAAACATGACTGTGATTGGCTACATTGCTCACCTCTGCGAAAATACATTGTAAAATCATTTGACACTTTCCAAAACAGAAGGGCAGATACACTGGATTGTTTGCCAAATCGATTTTGTTATGCTATTATAACGAATAAAACAGATCATAGACCAGGGATTATGGGCAGCTTTTCCATCTAAAAGCCATCAGAAGCAACAGCAGGCAGTTGTATGAGTAAGACTATAATACACGCTAAACTCAAGTCCGAACGTCCCCCTCGGTCCGAAGAGCGCCGGGCCTGAGGTGGGTTTTCATGGCTAGTTTGTAACTAACATGTTTACAACATTTGATATCAATGCACATTAGGTCATTGTGGACTGTGATGCTTAATTCCTTAATAAAATAGCATGAATAATATTGACTTTTTAAATGAATATGGGTGTTTATTATAATTTCATGTGACACATTTCAGCTTGTTGCTTACTTGATAACCCAAATAATTGGTCTGAAATCAATAACTCTTATGTTACATTGTAATTTAGTGGGGCAATGCACTAATATTTTGCGATTCATGATTCTATCATGCTATCACTACCATTAACATACAGTCATGGCCAAAAGTTTTGGCAGAGACATAAATTTTGTGTTTTGCAAAGTTTGCTGCTTAAGCTGTTATGGTGTTCACATTGTTTCATTTTAAATAATTGATAAAAGTTTCATTGGCAAAAAAATGAACTTTTCACAAAAAAAGAACACATTTCACTGTTTTTTTAATCCTGACATAAAATGACCAGCTAACATTAATTGACTAATCATATCAGCAGCACGTGTGAAAGTGTGAATGAGTACTAGTCAGGTGAAATCAATATCATACTAATTAGATTGAAAGAGCACATTACTATAAAAGAAGGGAAGAAGTGCTTCCAATCATGGTGTTCTCGACTGCAGTGAAATCGTCTTCAGGACATCCCAGAGTGTCCAGCAAGCGCCAGGACCGTCTCCTCCTGAGGAGTCAGCTACAGAATCGTGTCACAAGCAGTGCAGAGCTTGCTCAGGAATGGCATCAGGTTGGTGTGAGAGCATCTGCACGCACAGTGAGGCCAAGCCTTTTGGGCAACGGCCTGGTGTAAAGAAGGGCAGCAAAGAAGCCACTTCTCTCCAAGAAAAACGCCAAAGGAGTGGGCTCTCTCACAATTCTGCCCAAAAACACTGCCATGAATTAAGAACAGTATCAAAACGTCCTGCAAGAGTAACTTCTTCCAACGATCCATGAGCAATTTGGTGTTGATTCGTGCATTTTCCAGCACGATGGAGCACCATGGTGTGTGTGTGTGTGTGTGTGTGTGTGTGTGTGTGTGTGTGTGTGTGTGCGTGTGCGTGCGCGTGTGTGTGTGTGTGTGAGGTTTGTGAGAGAGAGAGTGTGTGTGTGTGAGGTTTGTGAGAGAGAGTGTGTGTGTGCGTGCGTGCGTGTGTGTGTGTGTGTGTGTGAGGTTTGTGAGAGAGAGAGAGAGAGTGTGTGTGTGTGTGTGTGTGTGTGTGTGTATGTGTGTGTTGGCAGTGGCAGAGGCTGATCTAATATGGGCTATCTAACACCTGTTTCTCCTCCAGTCACAGAGCTGTGTGTGTGTCGGCCGCTGCGCTGTCTGGACTCCACGCGGGACGTAAGCCTCTCTTAGCACCTTTAGCATTGCATCTGTCATGGCTGCGTGTCACCTTTATCTGTTATTGTGTCATGATCCGTGTGCATCATGTCCACAAGTGTCAGTTGCATTGTCCACTGAAAGCTGATTGACAAACCTGATGTTTGTAGAGCTCAGCAACACCCTCTGCCTGCCATTACCCGCTCGTGACGCCGCTGCTCCGCCACCTGCTGCTCTTCAACAGGGTGAGTGCACCTCGCTCAGTGCTTACATGCACGAGCTACAGCAATACTGAGTTTGATTTCAAAATCAAAATAGCTTTTTAATTTAATTGTTTTAGCCTTTGAAATGGTTTCCTAGTCTAGCTTTCTAATAAACGCGGCATTGTGCATATTGTGGCTCTGTCACAAGTCACTTTGGATAAGTTTTATATGTCTCTCCCATTATACTCTATTTTGCTGTCCTGCTTGCAACCAAATAATCATTCACATTTTATTATTTGCATTCAGCGTTTTTCTTCCTTTTTATAAAAGCATGTGCTAAATGTAAATGTGACAGTACGGACTAGGGTTGCACAATATTAGAAAATAAATAGGAAAACTGACATTGCAATATTTGTTTATCTGTGATATATATTGCAGTACGGGAAAAAAACAGATGGCTTGAATTTTTAACAGATCATTTGAATGACTATATTTGGAAATAATAACTATATTTGGAAATAATTATCATCTGTGCATTTGCATAGAAAAATAAAAAAAAATAAAAAATGACTTTGCACCCTGAAGACTTTTGAGAATAATTTAGGAAATATTTGGGTTTACTTTTTACAAGAACCATATCAAACCTCTTTCAGTGACCATAAAATAGAAAGAGTTATAAAAATATCTCTTTCAACTTTATTTATTTTTCATAGGCCACATTCCCTTGCCCAATTCAGCATGACTATAAAATATAAAATTCTGATGTTTTTCAGTGTGATTATTACAAAATAAAAATATTGAGCAAAATAAGAACTTTATTGTAATAATGCCATCATACTGTAAAATAAAGAAAGAGTGCTCGGTTGCTATCATAACCTCGGTTCTCTGAGATAACGGTCTCTCACGTTGCGTAAAATGCTACGGGGAACGTATCCAATACTATACTTTTTAGCACCGTGCCGAAGCCACAGAGTGAACTAAGACCCAGCTCGTCCTCTGAATTAGGAAGAGCTAGAAGGGTGATGACTTGTGCTCTGAACGGATGTCTTGGTTTGAGGGCAACTTTACATTTGTTTGTGCAGCTACACGAACATGAACAAAGCAGGCTTCAGTGTTCAGAGTAAACAGGAGTGCCCTCATAGCGTTTCACGCAACGCGAGAGACGAAAGGGAAGCAGAGAGTTCCTATATTTAACCAGGTGTTTGATTGACAGGTGTGGATGCCGCAGGTGAGGAGTGAGTCGTATCTGCTGGTGTGTGCCGAGGGGACTGAACTGCAGCTGTGGGAGCGACACTGCAGCGCTGATCTGTCCTGAAGAACAGACACTAGATAGTCTACAGCAGCATGGACTGTGATCTGTTCTTCTCTATTCTTCAGTTCCAGCCTATAACACATTTTCAGCGTCACAGCCACATGATTCAGTGAATGGGGCATTTAAATCTGCACCATATTCTGGTTGCGCTCATATTCTGAATATGATGTTTATATGCTTAAATACGGTAGTTTTAGGTCTGCTGATCTACACATGCACATTTAATTTTTTGCAATTGTCTAAAAGATTTCCTAAGAGAGTCTTAGGAAGTATGTGCATCAGAAATGAGTTTCCAATTCTTAATACCTACAGCTAATGCATGTAATCGCTCATAATTCTTCGTGGTCTGAGCATGTGAATCTCCTTTCAGTGGATTTTCTGAATAAGGTGTTTACATGCAAACACGTTTCTCATTAAAACAGGTTTATTCAAGGAGTGGGAAACAGATTTTTGAGAATTAAAATATTGTCTTAAACTGAATCAGGCAATCAGAGTGTGGTGTTTAATATGTGACTCCATACTAATCTGAATATTGACAAAATCTGATTATTAACGGAATATTCACGTGCATGGCTGGAAATGAAAAAAAATTTTTTTTTTGGAAAAAAAAAAAAAAAACTTTTCCCCACACTCTACTGGGCTGACTTCCTTTGCACGTCTCATAAGCATGTCTTCTATTAGATTGCATGCGGTAGGGCTGAATTACAGTCCTGCGCTACAGCGCCACACTGGTCAAACTGCATTACTGCAGGCTGCATTAGGTCATGAGATCAAACTATTCAACAATAAAAATGATCAACAATAAAAAATTGTCGATAATGTCGACTAACAGTTTCAGCCCTACTCTAGAATAAAACTTAATCATAAAACTTTAATACATTAACTAACATTAACTAATCGAACCTTATTGTAAAGTGTTACAATTATTTGCTATTAAAGAACGTGTGTGTTCACAAAAACACTGTTAAACTAAACAGAAAAGCAAGCAGGTGTGCATGATTTGGCATGGCAGCCAATACAAATAATAACCGTTTCCTTACCTAAATCCTGCATTTGGACCAGGCTCGGTTGCAGAATCACATCTGTGCATCTGAAATTATTATATTTTTCTATATAGTGTAGTAGTTAGCTTTGTCTGTGTCGTACGTGGCCGCTTGTCAAGCATGAAAAACGTTTTATTTAAATTCTGAATATATTATCGTATACAGCATGCAGTGCTCCCTTTAAATATATTAAAAACTCATTCTCTCATTCATCACAATCTCACAAAGTAAAAAAAAAAAAACAATGAACGTGACTACACGATGAAACTTTTTTTTATGTCTTTGTTAGAAAGAAGTTACGAGCATGATAGAACGTAGCACTGGACAAAAAACGGTGACTGGACCGGTGAGTGTGTGGATTCCAACCTAAACACCTCTGATTGGCCATTGCGTTTTAGAAATCAACAAACATGACTGTGATTGGCTACATTGCTCACCTCTGCGAAAATACATTGTAAAATCATTTGACACTTTCCAAAACAGAAGGGCAGATACACTGGATTGTTTGCCAAATCGATTTTGTTATGCTATTATAACGAATAAAACAGATCATAGACCAGGGATTATGGGCAGCTTTTCCATCTAAAAGCCATCAGAAGCAACAGCAGGCAGTTGTATGAGTAAGACTATAATACACGCTAAACTCAAGTTCGACCGTCTCCCTCCATCCAAAGGGGGGGCACAGGGATGTCCATGGGGGGGCCAGCCCCCCTGGCCCCCCCTCTGGTGCCGGGCCTGATCAGATTACAGATGTTTCCCACCCTTAATCCAAATACGCTCCTAGGGCTGTGCGATATTGAAGAAAAATGCGATACCTTGTTTAAAAAAGCGATATTCGATATGCGATAGCGATACGATATTGCCATAGACTGTATAAAAACATGGACATAGTGTCCGTGACGTCACCCGTAGATTTCCGAAGAGCGTTTTTGAAGCTCAAAATTGGGTGGAGGCGGCCGTCGCCATCTTGGCAGCGCGTCACACTCCCGGACTCCCGGATAAACGAAAATGGGCAAAGAGGCGAGAACAGGTTGCTGAAGCCACACCCACCTAGCTCGACGAGCAGCAGCAAAACGGACGAGTTATAAAAAAAAATTCACCCCCCTCAGAGTTGTCATCAAGGGCAAAATTAGCTATATAGACCAAAATCATTTTTTGAACCAGGCTGTAAACATGTTTTTTTCTGCTGTAAAGTTGGGCATTTTAACATGGGGAGTCTTTGAGAATGACTCCCTTTTGCAGCCAGCCTCTAGCGGCCAGTTGATGAATTACAGTTTAAGTCACTTCCTTGTTGGCTTCACTAGAGAGAGCGGGAGGTTGCCGCTTGGATATTGCTTAAAGTGTGTAAAATCAATTTAAATGATATTTTAAAATATTTAAAAATGAAAATTATATAACCAATTTGTTTCACATTCTTTCTTGGAAAACAAAGAGTCACTATAACTTCTGAAAGCGACCAGCAGTGTTTTAGCATTACTTAAAAAGTAATGTCACAAATCAGAAAATGTAATTTAACATCAATGTGAACATACAAACAAAAAAAATTTATGACACTAATTGTATATCATTGTAACTTTGCTTTCCACACACTTTAAGTACTTCATGAACCACAGCAAAAACTATAGTCTGAGAAAGTTCAAACATGATTAAAGGCAAGTGAAGAGCCAGTAAAAAAAAAAGAAAGAAAAAGAAAGAAAGAAAAAAAGAAATGCACAATTTACAAGCATAGATAAAATAAACAGTAGTATTCAGGTACAGAAATGTAATAATTAAGTGTAAAATAACACTGCATAGTGTTCACTGTATTAATTAAATTTAGATTAATCTTTGTTATAGCGGTTTTGTTGTTTGATTAACATTAGTGACATATTCAGCAGCACGTATTTATAGGCTGCTGTCCCTTTAAATCTGACTGCACGGAATCAGTATGATACACATCCGCGTATCTGCGTTTACGAGCATGATCGTCGAGACGGGTGCCATTGACATGATTCTGTGTGTATGTGTCTGTTCAAACATGAGGAGGAGATGCGAAAGACGAATCAACTCGGTCTGAAACGCCGAGTGTGCGCGTGTGGCAGAACTGAAGAGACGCTGCGCGAGATGCGGCTTGTGCGCGCACTACAGGTGTGAGTCAGACAGCAAGACGAGACGCAAAGACTTGTTTTCTGCAACTTATTGCACTTAGCTCTTTTTAATGTCAAGCAATTCTCTGCTATATGCGTCAAACTAATTTTTGATTCAAGTAGCCTATTATTAAAATGATAATGATATCGCACGCCGTTGCGATATTTACATTTGGATATTTCGATAATCTCGATATATCGTGCAGCCCTACTCTTCACGGTGTTTTGCGTATAAATGAGACTTGGACTGGCATTAAATGAGGCATTTTGTTTGTGAATGAAATAAACGAACAAGGATCTGGTGATTGACTGAATGAGACACAACATGCCATTTGCCCCAGCAGTTCAGAAAAATTGGAGAGGGAAAAAAAAAAAAAAAAAAAAAACCCCTTT